TAAATATTCTATGACAAATTTTTTTTGAAAGAAACAGTATGATTTATTTGAAAGCAAAATGCACTTGCATAAAAAGAAGGTTATTTTTCACGTAAAAGAATTAGGCTTAATAAATCTTTAAAAATTATAACATAAAAGATTGCCAACTAATTGACACACCAATGAATGAAAATTACAAATTAATTGCAAATATGGAAGAAGAGGAATATGATCAAACTTTTTATTATACTTTATTAGGCTCATTATTACATCTTATAATTATTATATTTGATATTAAATTTTCTATATGTGTATGTAGAAAATTCATAAAAAAGCCACAACAATCTCATCTTCTTATTGCAAAATATTATTGAGATATATCAGAGAAACCAAGGATTTTGGAATCATTTTTACAAAGAAAAAAAAAAAAAAAAAAAAAAAAAAAATGCAATACTTTACATAGCTATGTTACTTTTCTTTAAGCAAGTGATTCATAAGATATTAGGTCAACTATTGGTTTTATTTTCAAGTTAAGAGATTCTTTTATTACGTGTTACATTGAAAAACAGCCTATCAAAATTTAGAAATGGACTTAATATTGTGAGCATTATGAACATTGTTAGAAAATTTTAGTCATTTTTTGTTTTATTTTGTTATTGTTATGCTTTACTACTATAACCAACATTCTTTGTAAGAATCAATCTTTAAAAAAGTTTTTTCTTATTTTCATATAGGTATTTTTTATTTTACTCAATGTTCCAATGAAATGGCTTTTTATAAGTATGGATGCTCTTCTAACTCAACATTAACTTCAAGATATATCTTTTTCTAACTTTGACTCTAATAATATTACTTCTATTAAATAATTAATATATTATCATTCTCCTTCATACTTTTCTACTTCAAAGAGATTTAAGTTTTATGTATTCAAAAAAAATATCTATTTAGAATCTATTCTTCTTGATTCAAATATAAACGTCTTATCAAGCACTTCAAGGGTGCCAAGTGCAAAGACTTCATTTTACTTTGTGACACTGAAAACTTTCTTCTCAATTAATCTTTTGGTTTCTTCTTCAATTGTTAGAATATGTGGAGTAAGAGAGAGTGTTAAACGTCATCCATATATTTTCAACCTTATTCTTGATATAAGAATGTAGGCACCTTGTGAATTTATGTTCCTATTCAAGTTGTTCAATTTAAGTGGTTTTAGTCTATATTGGCTTGATTTGAATTTGCTACAAGCACCATTCAAAAACTCTACTATAGCTCCAAACAAGATTTAGAATGGCTTTTTATTAGAAATTTATAAATATCTCTATTGTTGTAGTAATAGTTGGTACATTTGGTAATGCTATAATTTGTGATTGTGAAGGTTTTAATCTAAACCTTACCAAATCTATAAGCTCATAAATAAATTACAATGAGCCTAAATAATTCAATGTAGAAATCAATTGTGGTAGTAGCTTTAATGGTCTTTGAATCTTAATTCAGTTTTTTTTAATATATTACTTGTTTGATGTAAAATATAATAAAATTTTACAATACATATTCATCTAATGGCAACTTATTTTATTCAACAAACCAACACCAAGAAAATACACATCTTGTTGACTGCAAGTAATCACACTTTGAAGAAGATCAATAAGAATATAATATTGAAGAAGATCAAGAAAAACATAATGTAGGTAAGGTAGGAATGATATAAAAACTTGAGACTATTATAAAGACAAAACAACAACTCAAGTTTGAAAGACTCTATAAAAAAAATAAACAACCCCAAGAATAAAAAGTTATTAAAAAATAATTAAGAGATATATACATTTGTACATTAACTAAAAAAACTAAATTAACTTCAAGATAAGTACTTGCTATACCATAAAACTTTAAAAAGAAATTCTTTGTTAAGTGAAAGATAAATTTTCTAAACACCACAAGTCAAATTATTTCTTATACCATAGAAGGAGAACCTAAGAATATAAGCATGTAAAAATTCTAAACTTTACTCAATGTCTAAACCACCATATTCAAACAAAACTCTATTATAAAGAGTTCTTTTTCTTAAAAATATTTATAAGACTTGATTTGACAAAGAATATTAAGTCAAAGGAGCTACTCCACTTAATACCTTTAAATCCAAATTGCCATTAATAAGGCCAACTAACATAAAATACTAAATGGATGAAAATTCTATAAAATAGACTACATAAACTAATGTAGTTTATTAATTATATCCATTTGACGTGGTTTGGTAGCCAATGCTATGTCATATAATATATTGGTAAAAAATAATTAACTAGAAGTTTTTAAGAGAGTTACAATTGCCAAGACGTGTTTCTAAATACCTCATACATTCTTTTTGATTACAAGAAGAACTTCAAGATAAGTTAAAATCCTTCCACATCTAGCTATATAGTGCATTCCTAGGCTGAATTTTACATAATGACAAAAAATCATGAATTTTCACAACAAAAATGAGATAATGCTATTGAATAAATAAATGCTAAAAACTTTGTATATGAAACTAATATTAACCTTCAACCTATAGCAACTATAGGTCATGCGCTAATAGATATTTTTGATCTAATTCAAGATAGTTTAATTAAAGATGATGTTTAGGGTCTTTTAAATTACAATAAAAGAAAAATCTATCCTATTGATCACCCTTCTTAATAATTTACTCAATCTTGCTAGCTTTCTAAATAACTTATATGATTTAGTATTCTTCACTAGACTATGCTATCCATCAACTTTTATATTACTACTGTTAAAACAATGGATCCTACAACCAATGAAATTTTACTATCTACAATGCTTGAGCATCTCTAATAGAAGAAGGCAATGCAAGTAGAGATTGATTCTTTGCTCAAGAATCAAATGTATGAGCTTATAGACTTACTTCTATGATAATATATATTGTCAACAAAATGGATCTTCAAAATTAAACTGGTAATGAATTCTATTCTTTTTTAATTAAAAACTAGATGTTAAAGACATCCAACAAGAAGATTTTGGAAATATTTTTAGAATACTCTATCAAATTCTAGAAGGTTTTCAAAATATTCTAGCAAATTTTTTAAAATTTGAAGAGAATAAAGGAAATTGACTAAGAAGCTTCTTAGAGTTGCTTTGTCTTCAAGCAACAAGGAAACTTCTCAAGAAGCTTTCTAATACCTAGTATATATTAGAATTGAGGCTCTGAGGATCTCAAATCTTAATAACACATCTCTTGGAGTTCTAATTCATCTTTCTTAGTGTTGATCATGTACTTATCTTGTTTAATCAAGTTCTTGCTAACTTTCTTGTTGTAACTCTTTTGTTCAACTTTGTGTTTAGTCGTCTATACAGTGTATCCAATACACTAAATTAGTAGCTGAAGGTTTTGAGCAATGATTTGGAATTGACTTTCAAGAAACTTTTGTACTTGTTATTAAGTAGTTGACATTTGAAATAGAATGTTAAATGATATGGTCTACATAAAGCAACTTGAAGACTTGGATATATTAATATATATATATATATATATATATTATTAATTGATTGTATAAGTCAATTCATAACTTAAAGCAATCACTATGAGCATAATATGAAGAAATAAATAATTTTCTTTAATCATTAGGTTGAAAAAAGAATATATGTTTAATTCTAATCTTTACTTCTTTCAAAATGATACTACCATTGTTCTTATTATAATGTGTGTAGATAATATATTATTCACTACAAACCATCTTAGCTAATTTAAAAATGTAAAGCAAAAGCTTCAATTACAATATAATATGAAAGATTCTTTTTGGGTTAAAAACATTTTGACATTGATATCACTAACATTGATTGGTATATTTCTACATCTTATGGCCTAATATAAGAAGATTCTTTAGAAATATGGCATGTTGACCTCAAGGACTAAATTTACTTTTGTTGTTTAATAATTATATTCTCACTTCCAAAAGTGGAACCTCAAGAATTGATTCAACAAAGTATTGTCATGTTATTGGCAAGTTCAGCTTCATTACATATATGCATCTTGGCATCTCTTTCGCAATTAGGTTTGTTGGTTTATGCAAAAACTTTAATAATTGCATTGGGATTCTATTTTGCATATCTTGTGATATGTCAATATTACAACCAACCTTGGTATCTATTATCATAGAAAGTCTAATATTTGCATGTAATGTTTCACTGTTGTAAACTACCTAGGTTCTACAGAAACCAAAATATCACTTAGAGCTTATGTATTCAAGATTGCAACATGATTTATGTTCAAAATTCAGCAGTTCAAGACTGTATTCAGGACCAATTTCCTGGTCTAGTAAAAATTAGCCTATTGTTTCTAATAGCACATTCAAAGCAAAGTAAAAGGCTCTATATAAGATTTTATAAAACACCTCCTTGATGAACTTGGTATTGCCTAAAGTCACTTGCAAATATTGAGCACAATGATTCTACAAAGAACCTTTAAGATGCTTTTGTGCCATCTGCTCTAGATATTCATCTCCATTGTGGTAATCAGAACCTACTCTAAATATTCATCTTCTACGTTAAGATCACAAATCTATTCAGCTTGAACAAAATCCAAAATTTCACGCACAGAAAGCATGTTGAAGACAAATATGATTTTATTAGGGGGACAATTCTTGCTGGATAGATTACATCGTGTCAGGGGAGATTGGCAATCATGTTATGTTTACTCAACCTCTCCCTAGTGCAAAGTTTGAAGCTCATTGAGATTATTTGGGCTTCACTTCCCAATCTAGCCCGTTGCAGAATTAAAGCTGTTAATCTTGCTCATACCGTTTTCAGAATTCTCCAAGTTAAGAATAAAACATCTTCCAAGGAAGTGTGTGAATTTTCATGATAAAAGTCAAGATTTAACTATAAAACCATGAATACGTTTTATGCAACGTTTAGATACTATTCCTATCCAAGTTTCATCAAGATGAATGGACTACGACTTGTATAAATTAATTGACAATGAAAAACAAAATTAATAGTCCAAACAAATCAAAGATCTGTTATACGAAAGCTTCAGGTGGAAGTTCAATGCAGCCTAAAAGTCTGCAAATGTCATTAGATGTGTTGGATCACATAAAGAGATGAATAAAACTATTGTTTACAAATTCAATCTTCATCAGATCAAACCGGTGCATGAAAAGAAACACCGACGTACTTGATCCAGGCATTTGTTCCGTACATGTAACGGAATTTCAAAAAATATTCTAACGTCTACGTTCTAAGAGGATCGCCAAAAATTCTGTCACATAATCATGTCACCTCAACTGGAGTGGGTTTAGTCTACTTCCTCCATCTTGGAGCCCTCCTCCTCGGCATCAGCCTCCAGTGGTGGCATGTCTGCATCGGCTTCCGTGACATCGTCGTCGATGCTCAGTCCCAACTTCAGCATCCTATGGATTCTGTTCCCGAACGTGTTCGGCTCCTCCAAGCTGAACCCTGATGTCAACATCGCCGTCTCGAACAGCAACAGCACCAAGTCCTTCACGCTCTTGTCGTTCTTGTCCACCTCCGCTCTCTTCCTCAACTCCTCCATGATCTGGTTGTCAGGGTTGATCTCCATCGTCTTCTTCGACGACATGTAGCTCGACATGCTGCTGTCGCGCAGCGCCTGCGCCTTCATGATCCTCTCCATGTTCGCCGACCATCCGTACTCGCCCGTCACCAGCACGCACGGCGAGTCCACGATCCTGTCCGACACCACCACCTTCTCCACCTTGTCCCCCAATATGTCCTTCACCGCCTTGCACAGCGGCTCGAACCGCGCCTTCGTCTCCTCCTTCTTCTTCTTCTCCTCCTCCGTCTCTTCCAACACCAACCCCTCCTTTGTCGCCGACACCAGCTTCTTCCCGTCGTACTCCTTCAGTTGTCCCACCGCATACTCGTCGATCGCGTCCACCATGTACAGCACCTCGTACCCCCTCCTCTTCAGCTTCTCCAAAAACGGTGAGTTCTCCACCGCCTTCTTGCTCTCTCCCGTGATGTAGTAGATGTCCTTCTGCCCCTCCTTCATCCGCGTCACGTAGTCCTTCAGGCTCGTCATCTCCTCCCCGCTCTTCGTCGAGTGGTACCTCAACAGGTCCGCCAGCTTCGACCTGTTCTGGCTGTCCTCGTGGATCCCCAGCTTCAAGTTCTTCGCGAACGCCTCGTAAAACTTCTGGTAGTCCTCCTTGTTCTCCGCCACCTCCGCGAACATCTCCATGCACTTCTTCACCAAATTCTTCCGGATCACCTTCAGAATCTTGCTCTGCTGCAACGTCTCCCGAGATATGTTCAGCGGCAGATCCTCCGAGTCCACCACTCCCTTCACGAACCCCAGGTACTCCGGTATCAGCTCCTCGCAGTTGTCCATGATGAACACCCTCCGCACGTACAGCTTGATGTTGTTCTGCTTCTTCCGCGAATCGAACAGGTCGAACGGCGCCCTCTTCGGCACGAACAGCACCGACTTGAACTCCAACTGCCCCTCCACCGAAAAGTGCTTCACCGCCAGGTGCTCCTCCCAGTCGTTCGACAAACTCTTGTAGAACGCCGCGTACTCCTCCTTCGTCACGTCCTCCGGCTTCCGCATCCAGATCGGCTTCTGCTTGTTCATCAGCGCCCACTCGTGCGACACCTCCTTCACCTTCTTCTTCTTCTTCTCCTTCTCCTTCTCCTTCTCCTCGTCCACCTCCTCGATCTTCCCCTCCTCTTCCTCCTTCTTCTCCTCGTCCTCCTCGTCGTCCGACACCTCCTTCTCCGTCGTCTTCTCCGACCACAGCGAGATCGGGTAGCTGATAAACTCCGAGTGCTTCTTTACCAGGTCCTTCAGCCTCCTCTCTTCCAGGTACTCCAGCTGGTCCTCCTTCAGGTACAGCTTGATGTGCGTTCCACGTCCCAGCTGCTCCCCGCTCGTGTCACGAGTGATCGTGAACGACCCCCCGGCCTGTGACTCCCAGATGTACTGCTCATCATCGTTGTGTTTCGATGTCACCACCACCTTCTCCGCAACCAGGTATGCAGAGTAGAAACCCACACCGAACTGCCCTATCATGCTAACGTCGGCACCGGCGGTCAGGGCTTCCATGAACTCCTTGGTCCCCGACCGCGCAATGGTTCCCAGGTTGTTAACCATGTCAGCCTTCGTCATACCGATACCACTGTCGATGATGCTAAGGGTGTTGTTGGCCTTGTCGGGAACAATATGAATGAACAGCTCGGGCTGCCCATCCATCTTGCTCTTGTCGGTTAGGGACTCAAACCTAATCTTGTCCAAGGCCTGCCAGGGCTCAAGCGTAAAGTAACAAATGAGAACCAACTCCAGTCATACAAGCATAAATTACTGTTTCGCTGTTGACAATCAATTTTGTGGCACGTCCGAAAGACAGGTTTGTATGCCCCAAGTGCCATTTCGCGGTTGCAGCAGTTTGACACTAAACAGGGAGCAGGTGTAGAAAGAATGTCTGTATCGAGCATTGGTGTGAGGTTTAACCATCAGATCAATAAACAAAAAATTAGTTAGCGGGCATCGCTAATGTCATCGCATAGAAACCAACTCTAAAGCATATCTGAGGCACAGAACCTACAACAAAAAGTTCCAAGCAAAAACACCTACATCAGAAGAGTTGCTGATGAGTTCTCTCAAGAATATCTCCTTGTTACTGTAGAAAGTGTTGATAATCAAACTCAACAACTGATTGATCTCCGCCTGGAAAGCGAAGGTTTCGATCTCGGGAGAAGCCAAGTTGACGTCTGCCATTTCGTCCTCTGCTCTGAAGGAATCGACTTTGGCAACCACGGATACTCGAAAAAACTGGACTTAACCGCCTCCACAGAAACACGACCGATTCACAGTAACCTCTCGATTAAACCTAATACCGAAGCTGCTAATAGCACTCACATGGACCCGCACTCTGGATCAGTAACGGATTGTTGAATTTCCAGTGCGCTAATTGCGACTCACAGTTTCAACGAGTATCGATGAAGGATGCGCAATATGATACCAGAACGAAGGCCACTGAGGAAGGATCCAGAGCCTCGGAGAAGCGATTCAAGGGGGAAACCGTTGAATGGAAGCTTCTCGAGAGTCTGAATTGTTCTGACACTGCTTTCAGAGCCGTCCAGCGGCGGGCTTGGGTACCCCATGGCCTTGCTGGGGTGGCCCATGGCCGTTGGAGCTACAGTTGGAAGTTGGCACTTGAATGCTACATGTTGGAAGAATCGCGAACCTGGTCCTGTTCACACCGGCACTGCAAGGTTGAATCTATATGGACACCTCCATGTGCCACACATAAAAATAAATGATCTTCAAATAAAATTGTGTCCAAAGATATTTGTATTATGTTTGTTACTTAAATTTGAGTATGAATCAAATCAATCCTAATTTTTTTAAACTCGTTTCTTTCTTTCTTTCTTTTTTTTTTTTTTTTTTTTTTGGTGTTTAAAAAGCTATTAGTAGCTATTGTCACCAAAATCTACCATCCACCTCTTGTCAAAACATTTTTTGCAACTATCACCACAACCCACCACCTTATTCATATTTTTTATGTTTATTTTTATTATCAATTCCAGTCAAGATAAATTCTGATACTTTTTGTATGTTTTTTAATATTTTTTAAGAAAAAAGTAAAATTATTTATAATAAAAATAATTTAAAAAATAATAAGAATAAGGTTGTGGTACCAATAACAAAAACTGTAGTGGTAGTAGCAATACCTTTATTTCTGGATTTTTTATTTTATTGTATGTTTATGGGTGTCAATAAAGTTGATTTTTATACATTAAAATTCAAGTAAAAAATATAGTATAATTTTTTTCAAATACAATTTGAAATAATGATTGTTCATTATGTTTGTTCATTAAATTTATGTGTGGCAAAGAGGGATGTCCACATAGCAGTTCCCTTTTTTAATGTCTCTTGATTTGTATATAAATACATTGTGAATACAATAATAATAATAATAATAATAAACTATTCCTGGCTTTATATTAGAAACAACTAATTGATTTGATGCAAATTTGCATTTTTGATAATATGAATGTGTTTAGAGACAGTCACCTGATTCTTTAACAAAATTATAATGCAAAATATAATAAAATCAAGAATTAAAGTTTATCTATTTTTCTAACTAGTCAAAATACAAACAATTTCATATTTCTTTGAGTTCTTGTGAATATATGTATCATAATAAACAAATAAAGTTTTTTGAAAAAATAGTTTTGTTTTTGATAGACATCAAAATTAATGAATAAAAAATAAAAAAATATTGATACAAAGTTTATAATATATTTTATCATTTAAGATTTTTTTGTTAATGCATTCTTTAAAATACTAAAAATACAAATAATCCAAAATGTACAAGTTGAGAAGATAATAAGAATCATTGTTTTTGTACATAAGAATTTAAAAGAGAAAAAATAAAATGTTATATCTTGTTTTAATATTTTAGAAAATATTATATTATACCTCTATGAACATACAAAAAGAATCACAAGTGATAAAACAAGAAAGTTAACAATGGTAACAATGATCTTTGCTTTAGCCTTGTATGCATTATTTATGGCATTCACATGGTGTTTTAATTCTAATTTTAATTTTTAAAACATAAATAAATATATACTTGTTTACATATTTTAATAGAAACAAAATCATTGGGTGATAGATTAATTAATGTTGTTATTTAAAATGATTTACCATAAAATAAATAATTAAATTATAATAAATTAAAAACTTATCATTAAACTATTGAAAGTAAAAAAAATCAGTTTTTATTTTTATTCTATTATCTTTTAATAATTCTAATAATAGATTTATTAAATATTAACTTAATTTTAAAGATATTAAAAGCTTCTATGAAGTGGCATGTATAAATAAAAAATTATAGATTATATCAACATAAATAAATATGCTACCTTTTAAATATATTAGAAAAAATCCTTGCCATTGGGCATTGCAATCTCTGACACATCCATCCATTCCCTTGTTCATCTATATTCCCTTATTCTTCTACAAGTTTCTTCATGGCCAATCAAAAGACTTCTTTGTCTCTTTGTATTATATCCAAGTTGCCTTATATTATACTTGTGGAAACTCGTGCTATTGGCCACAAAAAGAATTTACTAAAAATTATGATTGGGAGCTTCCAAGCTCTATGCCTAGTAATCTCACATTGCTACTCTCAGTATTGAGCAACATCATGGTTTTTGTCTCTTTTAGTTTATTCCATTGATTTATTCCTTTTGAGTTGTTATAAATATATATATATATATATAACATAATATTTGAAAATGTAAATTTTGCAAAATGTGATATTTTTTCTTCTTCTTTATATTCTTAAATTTACCCTAATACAACCAAAAATCAATTCAAAACATTGCAGGCTCATGTATATAATTACAATAAATCCACAAAAGATCATCAATATGTAGAGAACCAATTTACTTACCTTTATTCTTAAAATAATTTGATATGGTACATATAATATAATTATATAATATAATTATATAATATAATTATATAATATAATTATATAATAATAATAATAATAATAATTGAAATCCAACATTGTTTAAGCACTGTTTCAAAAGTTTTCAACACCCCCGGAATCGGAAAGAACCGTAAGAATCCGTTTACCCGCCCATAACTGATGCTACGGATCTAGCTTGGCTGGATATACCCGTGCCCCGGCTGAGACCGTATCATCACTGTTACTAGGAGTGTAGCCTGGATAAGTCCCTGCCACCCCTACGGAGTATATACCCTAGTTGAGAACCGCCTTCAAGAATGGAAATCCATCACTGAGGATTTCGGTTCGTCGTCACAGGAGGTTCATCGCAACACTAGTCACAAATTGGAAGCATTCCAATGCAACGTTGAGGATTGTTGATGCATCGAAGCTATTGTCAATTCGCTATGGTAATTAGCCTGCTCCTACTCGCTTCCATCTTTTCCGAAATTGGCATTCCATTCCTGTGCATTGTAAGGAACCGGTTCTGTGAGATTGGATGGTTTGACGGAGCGTTTGGGGTTGCAGAGGCGAGCTGTGCAACGCGGTTCTGTGCGCCGAATCCTCGTGGCATTGAGGGATGGCGTGCGTGGTGATGAGTGCGTTAGGGCTGCCGATCGGGCTGATGGGCTGTGGTCAGGGAAGTCCAAAAGGACCTTCGCATCGCATGGATGTAAGTCTCCGTTACAGCGCGTGCAGAATGTAGGCGTGGGCTCAGTTTTTTTGACGGATGTTTTGTGGATATTCTGGGAGGTTTTTAGGTTATTGCCATAGAAATTCGAATTGGAAGCTTTTAGGTTAGTGGCAAACAGGTTGAGCCCATCGTGCCGATTTTGGCGAATTTCATGTGCAGTGGAATTCACATGGTGCATTTAAAGAGCCTCATTAACTAGCTTCTAGGATATGCGACGTTGGCATTAGTAGATGAACAGGGAATAAATATGGCATTTTTAAGGATGTATGGATTTTGATAGATATTCGCCACTCGTGTCCTAGACGATTATGGCGAAGTTATTCAGAATTGAGCGCGGAACCGTCGGGTGGGGCTTTTTGACTGCATACTTTGATTCCTCCTCTGCATTTCAAGTTAATCTGTGATGAAAGTATTGACCTTTTGCTATTCCAAAGAGGGTTTAGCATGCATTAAACGATTACTTCTCAGGTGAATGGATACCTGCAGGGATCAAGCCATGTTATGTTAAAGGGGATAGACACTGCTTTACAACAAGTACTGATTTCAGAAGCAAGGAAGCAGATTCATCTATTAAGCGTGTGCCCGTGAAAGTTGGAGCCGAGTTAAGGGTGTGTAACAATCCCGCTCTTGTAAAGCAGTAAGAATTAAGCGACAAATTATGGTGCTCTGTTCCACATAGTAAGTCACAGTTAGCTTGACCTAGATGTTTTGGGCTTACAGTTCTTTGTACAAAATTGTTGCAATTATGCTGTGAACACTACCTTTTCGGCGTTCTTTTGAAGTAACTGCTAATCTGGAATGTGATTCAGATATGTGTCGCTGATATAAATGTAGATGTAGATGTGGCGACGGGAGACAGTCTGGAAGAAATTGTACTAGAGGTGAGTTCATTGGTTACGGAGTCGTGATTAGTGATTCTCGAGCTACTCAGCAAGTCAGGGCATTTACAGAGATAGATTCTTTGTACATGGTATTTTCAAAATTGTGGGGTGCTCTACTTGTGACAAAGTTAAGCTGTTTTTCCTTGTCATTTTACAGGCACTTTGGAAAGATGGACGCAGTGCTGATCACTGGTCTGATTTTCAACTGATAGAGTCTTCAGATTGCGTCAGTAAGTGTAATAAATTCACAACTCCAACTCTCATGGGAGTACATCCATTTACACAATTATATGTCTCTGTAGATGCTGGTATGCACTCTGGTCGCTTAGTTCCATTTACACATTTATATGTCTCTGTAGATGTTGGTATGCACTCTGGTCGCTTAGTTCCATTTTGATGGTGTGAACAGAGTTGCAAAACGTTAGAGGCACTCGAGGACATGGAGATCCAGTACCAGAGGGTATCAGGGCAGCCATGCCTGCACGCTGGTGCGGCTTATTTGTGCAGGCTAAGCAGAATCCAGTTCGTATTCAAAGTTTGGTGAGGACCCCCCTAAGCATATATGAGCCTCCCAGAAGAGTATCACTGTGCTGAGAGGCACCTCAGCGCTCAATTCTACATGAAAGTTTAGATTGTGCTTGCTCCCTTCAAATCGAGAGCTTCACCCTTATTTTAGATATCCATTTTTTATGTTGCAAACCTGAACTTGGAACATGACGCTTAATCGTCATAGTCGTGCCAAACTGCATGAATAGGCTCTTCTTTTCTTTGCAACCCTTCGCCGTAATTACTCCAAGCAAATACTGTCCAACTAGGGTTAAGTCTCTACCCTACACACCGTAGGATATATCATGCAGCACTGGTTGTCACGATCATTGGGCAGAGAATTGCAGCCCAAAAAGCATTGGTTGAATTGTATACCAAAAAAATTAGTGAATTGTGTCGTTCTCAACTGTAACATTGCCCTTCAAGTTTTTGCAGTCCTGAACACCATTAGGGGTGTTGTCTCAGGATCAATGTGATCAACATTTTGCACATGCTTTTTTTATGTGTTAAATTATACTCTTTGAATGAGGAACACGTGTGTGGGGTTATTTCAGAGGGAAGGAAACTTGAATGTTGAGACCTCTGGTGGCGACGTTACACTTGGTGATATGCGGGGAGGAAAGGCCAAAATTTTGACCAATGGCGGTTGTTTCACAGCTGACTTGGTACATTCCCCATGCTTTGTTCCTCTTAAAACTTGTCACTTGGCCTCGCAAATGTATTTGTGTATTTTGAATTGTAACTAGTCTACTAATTTTGAGAAATGAACTTATGCTTTCGTGGAGAAGTAGCTATCTTCTGCAATCTTCTGCTCTTAGTGCTAATGTTTGGAATGGGACGAAAGCATACGTATTCATGTTTTCATTCGTCCCCATCCTGTGTCAGGTTTCTGCGGATTCAGTGGTAAAGACAGCGGGAGGTGATGTTTCTATTAAACGACTGGTGGGCACAACCATTGATGTCGATACTAATGGAGGCGACATGTACATTGGATCTCTTTATGGCAACGGTAAGCACCTCTTAGTGCTAGAAACTTATCGATCATTTACTGTATTCTAATATCTTTTCCACCTGAAAGTCGGTGAACATACTTGACATATCTGTTAATGATAATGAATTCTACATTTCTTTAATCTATTTCTCAACTTGGGATCTGACTTTCGATGTTGCATGTAATTTGTTATCACAGATGTGGTGATGAAATTAAGCGGTGGCTCATTTGAAGCGAAGCATATCCAGGCACAAGATAGTGCTTTGGTAAGTTAGCTTTCATCAATTCCGACCCTGGACAGCTTAACAAGTGAAAACAAAATCTGGATTGTTTGCTTTCTCTGAGATAGAATTTCAGCTGTTTTTTAATTGGATGAAATCTATGCTTCTAGGAAATGTTCTGAGCACTACAATGAGGTCCAGTCTTTCTTTTTATTCATATTTAGAAAACGCCTTGCTTCTAGGTATTTATAGTCTATTCGCTTTTGGTCAAAAAGTGTTGACGAAGTGCTTTTGTCTTGGTTAATCAGATATCAACGAAAGGCGGATCAGTCCAGATAACTGGAATTGATGGGTACGCTAACTCTTCATATACTTTGTAGGATATCTTATTCGGTCTCTACTTTTTATTCCTGTTGACTAGGTATGTTATTTTTGGTATATTGCAACAGACCTCAAATTTTTATAGCGGTAGAGGAAACAGCCGTCCATGCGCAATGTTGGGTTTACCAAGTAGTATATAAGCTGCGCAGCATGAGAACTTTGACATTTCCTAATTTCCTCATATCAATAACCTAGCTCTTCAAAGCTCGATCATGTTTCTGAACTTTGCAGCTCAATGTTGCGAAGATTGCTTACATCCCTGTTTTGAAAGTAATAATTCAGTTGTTCCACTCCAGTAAGGCAAGCATTGTAACACGTGGAGGTGATGTATCATTGCAACTACACGAGCATGCTCGAGAGGCAAGTGTTCTTTAATGTCTGAGTAGAAGTCGGATTGTGCAAGACCACTTTCTGTAGCTCGCAAGTAATAAAATGCCATTTGTTGTCATCCAGTTTGGGAAGTAACTGACTAACAGAATGTCTTGTAGCTTGTTTGTTATCCTAAGAACTCACGGATCTACAGATCAAGTTTTATACTATTTAATTCTTGAGAATTTATAAAACCATATAATCTATCTCTGTTCCTCGCGGGGTGTTCGGTTTACTGACAGTGATGTTTCAATGCGTGTAATGATGTTCAGATCAATATAGACGCAAGTGAGGGGAATGTGACGTTGTACTTTTCCAACAATCTTTCTGCCCAGGTTTGGGCCTCCCTGCACAATCTATCTTCTAGAACATCCTTATCTTGCTGCTTATGCCTTCTTGCAAGTATCAGCCAGTGCCCCATTCAGCTCTGAAGAAGAGTGCACGTGGCTATTCAACAGACTTACAGTAGAACAGAGAAGTGATCTCTGAGCAGCTTGCTCGTGGCTGGTCTTTATGGTGGAGTTGATGAGGCGACTATTGTTTGCAGGTGGAGTACAATGGAGGAAAAAATATTCACCAGACTTCGCAATTACTGGTTGCTACACCTTTGCCAGCCCAATATGTCTTTGTAGGTCAAGAATCTGGCAATTGGATGCATGGAGATGACAGTCGTGCCAACAGAGCAGAAGAGGCATCCCAAGCTAGCGCAGAAGTTCCTCAATTGTGTAAAATAAAGATAATTTCTTCAGGGTCTTTGCACGTCAAAATGCGAAGCTGGATTGATGTGGCTATGGCCAGTAGCGTACCCAACTTTGTCAAGTGGTAGTCTTGGAGGATGATACGCCTCTTTTCATAAGAATTTGCCTCAACTGTAGTCCTCTCCTTGTTATGACTCTATACATTCTCAAATTATTGTATTTGTGTGATATGCATCTGTCTTTGTGTTGTGAACTTTCTCAGGTAATGAAATGATCTGAACTGACTGACATCCTTGCTGTATCAAAGCCCTTAGTGGAATGATTGTAAATGCTTTGGATTTGGATGATAACTGCCTGATCAGGCGATGGGAAACCCCCAACAAAGAAATTCTCATTAATATACCAATTCTTCCATGTTTGTCATGATCTATATTTAGAAACGCATAAAAAACCCGAACTAGTCACTGTTTGGAATCACCGCTCTTCACCCACGGAATCAATTTGCCCAAAATGCAAAATGACCACTTCTTGGTTCGATCTGAGCCTCAGCTGAGTTAAAAGCTGAAGAGCTTGTTGGCAGCACAATCCATGAATCCCTCTCTACTCATGCTTGACAATTCTTTAAAATTTCTTTCCTTAAAAGCCTTGGAAAACGTAGCCGAATTACACTCAACACTCCTAGCTTTTTCTTCATGTACAATATTCTCTTAACTCGAAAAACTAAAGCGAATGGAACCCTGAACTTAGAATTCTCGGTCTAGAAACGATGAGATTATGATCGATTGGGGTTCAAGTGTCGATGCTCCAAGTCATTGTTACTTTGACTGTATGTTCTGATGCACTTGTGGGTGAGGTCAAACATTGTGTTGCAACGACATTGACCCTAAATCTGTGCAACAAGCCTCAAAAACTTGGGTGCAACTGAGCTCAGCTTCTGAGTCTGGAGGGGTTCTGCAAGACAACTGATTAAATACTTAAGCTTAAAAGAACCCATTGTTTGTATGTATGTATATATGCTTTAATACGTTCAAAAACAGTCTGATAGAAGTGACAATATTTGTAACAAATAAAATCAGTATGATTTGTGAGATGATAGACAAGAGTTTGTTGTAATTCTTCAATTGTATATTTTAAGTTTTGTGAAATAGAAATATAATCTTGAAAAACTTGGCATTTGAGTAGAAATCTTTGTGAATGATAGGGAATGGTTGCACATACAATAAATGTGTACACATTTAGATAACTTAGATAATTCTATAAGATAAAATAAAAATAATATATAGAATCTAAAAATACGTGTTGCTCTTACAAACATCAAATATGATATTGATTTATTGTATATGTCTTCATAAACATATTTTCTAAATATAATAGTTTTGAATATAGTTGGAAGTAATGTAATTAAATAATAACCAATCAAAGCAATGATATTTTAAAACTTGACTTCAGGTGTTTTAATTTAAAACACAAGTGGTAAGTATATGTCTCTCTCTCTAAATATATATGAATTCAAAATCTCTTTAAAATATTAATATTCAAAATTAGAGACGATAAATTTAACACAAATTCAAAGTTGTATTTTTTTTCTAAACAACTATTTTAAATGTTAAAATATCAAAATACAATCTTAATTGATTTTTCCCTAAATGTAAGGATAATTAAAAAAAAATAATCAAAGAGCCAAAAGACTATAGAATCAATTTTCTACAGTTATTGAGTTTGAAAGTTGTCTGAAAAGGAGCTGTGTAGGCTTGGTATCAAAACAAATAAATTTTTTCTGTCTTCATAATGTTTCTTTTAGTGTGTAAAAAACCTTAATTGAGTGTATATATATATATATATATATATATATATATATATTCATCAAATTCTAAATTAAAAATTTCTCATTTAATATTGAATTGTTTTAATTTTATAAAGGCAGTTATCTAATCCTAGATAAATTTTTGTGAAATTGTGTACTTTTAGTAAGTATTAAAATATGATACAAATTTAAAGAAAAGTGAATAAAGATTTATTTCAGCGTAAAAGAATATATATATATATACATTTACACGTCCACACGTATGAGTTACGAATTTGTGGTAGATGAATAATAAAAACCGACCCTTAACAAGTACTTTGCAACAAGTTTCAGTAATGAGATGTTTGAAATTGAACCAATATCTGCAACTTAAAATGATATTGTAAACTCTGATGTTCTACAGTAGTACTATCAAAGTTTTAGTACAAGAAGATCACACAACATATCAACAATCAAATACATGAGCTTGAGAACATTATGCACTGAAATTGAAAATCTAGATTAATATACATTTAAAAAATACTTATAAAGATGTATATCTACATACATATGCATACATTTATTGGTGTTCAGTAGTCAAACCTCACCATGCAAATACATTTTGTTCTCATTATCAATACAATAAAGATACAAACTTTTTTCCATTTTCAAAACAACATTTGTTATTATAAATTAAAGTTTTTTCATTTCTACAAATAAAATTTAGAATACTGGGACTAGAAAAATAAAAAAATATCATTTTATTTAAAATAAATGATTCAGTTAAAGCTTCGTAAATAAATAAATAAAAATTCTTTTACTTATTTTTTGTAAATCCAAATAGCAAAAACCATCAGTTTTGTATTATCTCTACAAGAGTAATCACAACAACAACAACAACAACAATTTTTTCAACTAAAAACTAATGAAAAAAAATCTTGAAACAAAAACCACTTTCACTTAGACACAGATAATATTAAAAAAAAAAAAGTTAAAAAACCCAAAACTTCAAACGACGCATTCATTAATTACGAAGTTCAATTCAAATAATATAAGCTGAAAATAAAAATAGTAAGTCCACAGCGCCGAACGAGCCAAGTCCCATAATTAGCTGAACCCGAGATCAGTGGAACTAGGGGAGCGTGGGAACGTGCGAGCGAGCCCATAAAAAGCAAAAGGAGGCGGGGAACGTTCCCAACAGTGTCACAGCGTCTTCACCCTGGCAGTCCAAGTTACGGCGCGGGCACCGAAAAGCGCCCCGCCCCCCTTATTCCCCCGCCCGCGCTCGTAGGACCTGGATGCCCCGGTGCCGCCATAGCCCCGACGAAAGCAAGCTTCGACGCGGGGATTGCTCGTACAGGCCCCACTATCCCCGCCAGATTCTGCTTCGCATCTTACCTTTGGATGCCACCACTGGTAGTGCCGTCGTTGTGAAGCGCAATTTGAGGGTGCTGATTCCTTGCGACGCTTTTAATTGAAGGGCGAGGTTGTTGGGTTGTGGTGCTGACGATCGTGGAATAAGCGGGGGTGACTGTCTTCGTTGCATTTGGATTTTCGGATGAAGGAAGGGGGAATTGTTTGATCGGGGAAATCAGATGTGGGTGTAGAGGTGGAGCGTTGTCGCGGTGGCTTGATTTGAGTGGGAGTGACGGAGTGTGCAGTGAGCTGAGGTGTGGGTACTAAGTGGGGTTGCTTGCTAGAGTGGTTATTGTTTCGGAGGGAGTGTTCTGCAGGGGGTGAAGGTCTGTGGTCACTGTTTGTGGTAATGGGGTGTGATTTGTGCGCTGTTGCGATTTGCATTGCGAATTCCACCGGTGCTGGGAAGTTCTGCACTGTGCTGTTTTAGATTTTGCCTGTGCACTGTCTTAATGTACTGCAGGGTTGGTCTTTTACGGCGTGTTTCTTAAATTGGCCATCTTCTGGCGGGGTTTCGCACACCCAGTTCGATTTCTTGTTGAAGGTAGCTGGGACCTTTGAAAATGCGGATTTCGAAGCGCATTATTCTCTATCGTGCTGGGGGAATATCATGGAAATTCTCGGAAAAGGCTTTCTTTTTGTGACCGGTCGCACACATAGCAAAACTCCAACTCCGGAAGAGCGTGAAGTGCAGAGTAGATTAAAGTGGAGCTTTTTAGACTAGTTAAGTTCAATCGTGGGGGCGTTTGCAACAGTTTTCATTGGGTGGATTCCTTGGTTTAACCCACTGAGGTAATAGCCTTTTTCCTAAATTTTGATCCTTCCTCGTTGCTGTCTAAGTTTATTTGTAGCAATTGCCTGTTGGTCACATGGATTCTTTACCAATGTCCACAATGTGTTGAAGTGTCAGACTGAGGGATGAGTACGATGAGCAAGTGCCATTGTTGGAGTACACCTGTAAGCTCAAAATCAGTGATTGTTTGATCTGGTCATCGACTTGCATCGAATTGATGCATCACATCTAGGCCGCTGTCAGTGAATTGCCTGATAGAGCGTATTGTGAATTATAAAATATGGTGTAGTTCCCTTTGAAACAGTTGTAGTCAAGGACCGCAGATGAATGCCACAACAGCTTCTCTTGTATAGAAGGCAATTAAGTGAAAGAATGGACACGTGGTTCTGCTTGTTGTTAAAACGACAACATAGTGTTTTGCTCTTGTTTGTTTTGCAGAATAGTCCTGAGCAATTGAGTATGCCTGATTCTGACGATTGATGCCACTCACTTCGATATCGTCAAATGATTGTGAGCAAATTGTGTTCATTGACGGATACTTCCCCCTTGTAATAAGCAGAGATCAGGACTGAGGTTTGAGATTCGGAACAAGTGTTGAAAAGGGCGTAGCAGTTGGTTGAAGTGGAAAGCCGCAATGGGTTTTACTGAAGAGAGCTTTCACAGCCACAGTCATTCTGGCGAAGATAGCGGAGACGAATTGCTATCTGCATTGCCAAGGCACACTAAAGTAGTGGTTACAGGAAACAACCGCACCAAATCGGTTTTGGTTGGTCTTCATGGGGTCGTCACGAAGGCTGTTGGCTTGGGAGGCTGGCATTGGCTTGTAATAATCTTGAAGAGCTTTCAGCTGATTTTTCGTTTCCTAGTTATTGATCCTATTCTTTTGCAGTTGCCTCGGTGTTTTACTATCTTAGCCTCTTGAAGATCTTCAAACTGACCAGGTTTCTGTCGCGGTGGCAGGTACTTACAAACGGGGATGAAGTGAAGCTCCAGCGCAATGCATTGAGTGTGATTGAGGGCCCTAGTGGTCTTGAAGAAGTAGAGGACAACGAGGATTATTCATTTCCTAGCAGAACAAGCCAAGGTTTGTAAACCCGAGCTTATTTTGGGTTGAGACATTGCATGCTGCACTAACATTGAGATACTAGGACCTAGCTCCCTGGTCATTGTTTTAGGTATCTCGATTTTTTTGTTTCGATTACACTGAAGGCTCAGTAGATATGAAAAGGCGTTAGGTGAGATGGAAGCTGTTACACCTTGCAATTCAGAGGTCGAGATCGAAGAATAAGTTTTGCTCTGACATTGTGCATTCTCGTGTTTAAGGAATGGAGTTCTGGTTTTTAGCCTGCCACTATTGTTAGACGTAGAATGAGTAGTTTTTTTGTAAAGTGACGAAAGCTTGTGGCTGCAGAAAACAATATTCGAAGGAACTCATTTAGAGTACAACCGCGAAAGCTTGTATGTCCTGTCTCGTCCAATCCTGGAATGGCAGGTCAAGTCGGAAAGACTACTCAATGTGGTTACGCAAACGACAGAAGAGGAGGTTTCGTTGAACGCAGAAGTTCATCTAGCAGATGCTTACCGGTACGATAACTTCTGATTGATTAGAGTTTGGTTGAGGCGTGTGGAAATGATTTATATAAGCATAATTAATGTGTTTTCTCGTCTTAAGAACGACAACAGGGACTTTGCAAATACTAAAGCAAGTCTGCACTTGCTGAATCTGTGGAGGCGCTCAAGAAACGACTAAGTGATGTTCATTCTTTGGGTGCAGTCTGTGAATTTTAGCAAGCTGGAGATAGCTGCTCTGAAAAGATATCTAAGGCACTTCAAGCTGGTAAACTTCTGTCCACATTGAATTAACAAGATGTGATTACAAAATTATTGTCAAGGTCATTTCAGACATTCTACATCTCAGATTGCCCAGTTCATGGTGAGGACAGATTTGTATAAGTATTCCATTTGCAATGAGAAATTGTGTCAGGTCCTATGATCTTCTTGATTGTTTTAACCTTGAGAAGCCCTAAGTTGCATTGCACTAGCAGATTCCTATTTTATTATTGTTGTTGTTGTCGTCGTCTTCATGAGGTTCGATTATACAGGTAACTTAAGTGCTCACAATCTGAACTAATGGTTTTATTCGTATCTGTGCTGAAGGTTGAAGGCGGTCCAAACTCATCCAGAGAGCAGCTTGTGGATGCAGTTTGTAGGCATTTCATGTCACAGGTTGAGTTGCAGAAACCTTTAAATTGTGCCGTTCCGAGTACTCGCACAACATACCAAGTTGCACATGTCTTGCCTCCATGATAATTATGAATCTCTACAATATTTTAGTTTTGCACAGGCCTTGGAACGTACTCTGTGAAGGCAAAATCCGATTCCCTGAGAGTTGTTTTGTCATTGAATTACAGGAGTTGGACGAGGGGAAAGTAATTATGGGTTTCATGCGAGCTGCGAAGCGTTTACGAATATAGGCAGCGAGCTTGGGAATACGAGTATTAGCTTCTCCATGAAGTCAATAACCTGGGAAGCTCAGTGATTGTTGGCATCAAGTCAAAGAAAAATCTTAGATCGGCCATGATAGTCCGGTGTGGTCGACTGTAAAAAACTACTCACTCTTTACCTGCCCTCCTGTATATTATAAACACTAGAGTGTAAAAGTTGAAAGTATCTGACTAGGATACACATCCTTGGAGGGGACCTGTACAAAGGGATACTTTAAAAAGCTTACGATTCAAGCAGCGTTTGTTCAGACGTTGAATCCTTTTCTCCCAATTGCATTTAAGTGTTAATTATGAAGGATGGATCCTGGTGTTATCCTTCCCGCTAAGCCCGCAATCGCCCTGCAGTCCTTGTGCGTAGAATCATGGTTATGCCCGTGTGATGACACCTCCTTTGATGCTTACAGGAGCATCCTTTCTGTAACTCAATACCTCAATCTGAAAGATTCTCTACATGATGGACCTCAAAATCTTAATTTCATCGTTACAAGATTCGTTTCTACAGTGACCACTTCAGCAACCTAAAAAATTCTATACAGGCTTCAGAGGGTATCACTAGGGTAACTTATCTCTCAAGTCACTGTATGAGGTGCAGCACCGCAGCAAACGCCGACGACGACTACCACGACGACCACAAAGACCAGGAGTGACAGAATATCAACTAGCTTTACAAAACTAACACAAACATCCTGGCGAGATGTACAGACGTCCCGGTGAACCAGTCTACACTGCACCCTAGAGCACACCATTGATCCATTCAAAATCTCCTCAGACATCTCCGAAACAAACCGGCCAAATAAACATCCCTCGGTGTTCGTGACTTTCTTCCACAACACAAACCCCGATCCTCCCCCAGTCCAAGAAACACAAACATACTAATTCAAAAAACACACAGTACGATGGCCTCGAAACCAGGGACAGCCTTGCTCATCTCATTGACAATTTGCAAAACAACTTCTTACCCTGCGAGGGCAGTCGACCTAATGAAGCGCCTCCGCAGGCAGATCTTGACCGTTGCTGAGTCTCATCCAACGGAGGCTGTTTGATCATGCCGACAACAATCAGGGCAAGGACCGATTGTTCGAAGAAAGAAAGGGAAGGCTCGAGAAGGCCAGAGGAACTGATCCTAGCCGTCGGCGGGATGCATCTGACGGCGGCCCTGGGAGGCCTAGAAGCGTCTAGAGGGCCTTCGTTCTGGTATGAAAGGCTGTAACCCTCCTCATTGCACGTCGTCTCTCGGTGTTTACAGCTCTCACCCTCTGCTGCATTCGGAACATATTACTTCGGTCGTTCAGTAGCCGTTAGGGCTCAATCGATTGACCTATACTCCAGTTTCGTTAACGAGGTTTCTTTCGCGGGATTCGACCAGGGGCGTGGATTGTGTCCCACTATTTTTCTTGCATTGAGGCGGTTAGGTATTTGCGAAAGTCATACAAGATGGCGGACGGCGATGCGCAGGTCGAGACCTTCGCCTTCCAGGCGGAGATCAACCAGTTGCTTAGTTTGATTATCAACACTTTCTACAGCAACAAGGAAATTTTCTTAAGAGAGTTGATCAGTAACTCATCCGATGTAATTTTCTTTAAACTTTTGCAAGTTCTTGAATATTTGAATCATTCTCAGTTGATCTATCAGGGTCGCATTGCGCTTTAAGTCTGAGAATTCCAGACATATGTTTGCTTCGTCTGTCTTGTGACACCCTGCTATGGCTTGTAGCGCCGCCATAGTAGATTTGTGTAGTGGTGGCGGGTTTGAGCCTTGGATTATCGTCATTGCTTGCTTGTCTGATTATCCTTTTCCCTCAATATGGTAGGCCTTGGACAAGATTAGGTTTGAGTCCCTGACCGACAAGAGTAAAATGGATGGGCAGCCCGAGCTGTTCATTCATATTGTTCCCGACAAGGCCAACAACACCCTTAGCATCATCGACAGTGGTATCGGTATGACGAAGGCTGACATGGTTAACAACCTGGGAACCATTGCGCGGTCGGGGACCAAGGAGTTCATGGAAGCCCTGACCGCCGGTGCCGACGTTAGCATGATAGGGCAGTTCGGTGTGGGTTTCTACTCTGCATACCTGGTTGCGGAGAAGGTGGTGGTGACATCGAAACACAACGATGATGAGCAGTACATCTGGGAGTCACAGGCCGGGGGGTCGTTCACGATCACTCGTGACACGAGCGGGGAGCAGCTGGGACGTGGAACGCACATCAAGCTGTACCTGAAGGAGGACCAGCTGGAGTACCTGGAAGAGAGGAGGCTGAAGGACCTGGTAAAGAAGCACTCGGAGTTTATCAGCTACCCGATCTCGCTGTGGTCGGAGAAGACGACGGAGAAGGAGGTGTCGGACGACGAGGAGGACGAGGAGAAGAAGGAGGAAGAGGAGGGGAAGATCGAGGAGGTGGACGAGGAGAAGGAGAAGGAGAAGGAGAAGAAGAAGAAGAAGGTGAAGGAGGTGTCGCACGAGTGGGCGCTGATGAACAAGCAGAAGCCGATCTGGATGCGGAAGCCGGAGGACGTGACGAAGGAGGAGTACGCGGCGTTCTACAAGAGTTTGTCGAACGACTGGGAGGAGCACCTGGCGGTGAAGCACTTTTCGGTGGAGGGGCAGTTGGAGTTCAAGTCGGTGCTGTTCGTGCCGAAGAGGGCGCCGTTCGACCTGTTCGATTCGCGGAAGAAGCAGAACAACATCAAGCTGTACGTGCGGAGGGTGTTCATCATGGACAACTGCGAGGAGCTGATACCGGAGTACCTGGGGTTCGTGAAGGGAGTGGTGGACTCGGAGGATCTGCCGCTGAACATATCTCGGGAGACGTTGCAGCAGAGCAAGATTCTGAAGGTGATCCGGAAGAATTTGGTGAAGAAGTGCATGGAGATGTTCGCGGAGGTGGCGGAGAACAAGGAGGACTACCAGAAGTTTTACGAGGCGTTCGCGAAGAACTTGAAGCTGGGGATCCACGAGGACAGCCAGAACAGGTCGAAGCTGGCGGACCTGTTGAGGTACCACTCGACGAAGAGCGGGGAGGAGATGACGAGCCTGAAGGACTACGTGACGCGGATGAAGGAGGGGCAGAAGGACATCTACTACATCACGGGAGAGAGCAAGAAGGCGGTGGAGAACTCACCGTTTTTGGAGAAGCTGAAGAGGAGGGGGTACGAGGTGCTGTACATGGTGGACGCGATCGACGAGTATGCGGTGGGACAACTGAAGGAGTACGACGGGAAGAAGCTGGTGTCGGCGACAAAGGAGGGGTTGGTGTTGGAAGAGACGGAGGAGGAGAAGAAGAAGAAGGAGGAGACGAAGGCGCGGTTCGAGCCGCTGTGCAAGGCGGTGAAGGACATATTGGGGGACAAGGTGGAGAAGGTGGTGGTGTCGGACAGGATCGTGGACTCGCCGTGCGTGCTGGTGACGGGCGAGTACGGATGGTCGGCGAACATGGAGAGGATCATGAAGGCGCAGGCGCTGCGCGACAGCAGCATGTCGAGCTACATGTCGTCGAAGAAGACGATGGAGATCAACCCTGACAACCAGATCATGGAGGAGTTGAGGAAGAGAGCGGAGGTGGACAAGAACGACAAGAGCGTGAAGGACTTGGTGCTGTTGCTGTTCGAGACGGCGATGTTGACATCAGGGTTCAGCTTGGAGGAGCCGAACACGTTCGGGAACAGAATCCATAGGATGCTGAAGTTGGGACTGAGCATCGACGACGATGTCACGGAAGCCGATGCAGACATGCCACCACTGGAGGCTGATGCCGAGGAGGAGGGCTCCAAGATGGAGGAAGTAGACTAAATGATTAGGTAGGGCAGTTTATTTAAGTGGTGAACAATTTTGTGGATGTTGTAAGGAATGTAACCGGGTGATTGAAACCCTGTTTTGTAGGATAGCAAATAGATGAGTTGATGGATTGTTTTACACTTTCCCTCATTTGATTTGGACAATATCCTCCCCCCAATGAACACAGTAACGATATTTCATTTATTTTTCCCGTTTACTATAATGTCTTTGGTGTCGAGAAACTTATTGGTCAGTCTTATCTGTTTTCTCAGTCCTTATTTCCGGCGTGTCGGAGCTTATGTTTAAGCAATTGCAGTAATTGAATGTTTCTTTGGTGAACTTGTAGTTGTGAGTTACGTTTTTCGAGTTGAATCCCGAGTAAAACTTTGTATTTCATTACCAATTCTGTGACTAATTTTTCTTAGCGCGATGTGCCCCTGTTGTAACTTGGTCGATTCTTTTCTGGTAATTCTCGCACCGTATTTAACGGGTTTCTTCAGTAGTACCTGATACACCAGATTTCAACTTCAAAGGTGCAAATTCCTACTAATACGTTGGACGTATCCATCGCATCTGAGTAAACTATGAATCCTTCTGTAAATTGGTTTTGACACAGTGTGATATTGTTTTTGGAAATTGGCATTCCTTTACTTAAAACACCCTTTACTTGCAAGTTCTCGTGGCACTGTTTACTGAGTTGATATGGCCATTTATCGCTTTCTTCCTGCAATCGTTTTGATCGTTGTTTCGTTATCCATGTCAGCTTGCCTCCCAATCCTCTTCAGCAATTTTACAGCACATTTGACTGCTGATTTTAGCTCTGCACGCCATTCAGAGAACTGACACCATTGTTTAAGACTCTTCACTGATGAGCACACATACAAATATTTCTCAATGTTTTGAACCTCTTGACATAGATGCCTCAATTTTCAACAAAAGGTATTTGGACAAAGAAAGTAATAGCTCGACCTTCTTCCAAGGTCAAATTATGACTCCTAGTGCATCAAGAAGGTCAACTACCAATTATAAGCATTCTAAATTCACAAGATATTTAACAAACCTAAGCTTGGGGATGTAGTTAAGATTGTATTTTTACCAAAGTTTCCAATTTTTAGAATGTGATTCATGTGACAATTATTTAAAAGATTGATTGTAGCTTTATGGATCAATATATTATGAAATTTCACAAATATTATTTCATGGCATTCTTAGTACTACAACAAATATGAAAGAATCAATAGACCATAAAGTTTATAAAAAGAAGAAGAATATGCAAAGTCCAACATATAGAAGGAATTTGTAAAACTATCATATTAGAATGATCTAATGATAAGAATTATACATTTGTCTAAACACTATTTAATAATGTATTTATAGAATGTATAGTCTTCACATGCCTATATGCTTTAATCAAGTCCCTTAAGTATGTCCCTCGAAAAGAATATTAAGATGAAAAGGCAAATGTTCTTAAATTAAAATAGATTAGATTTTAAGGTTTTTTTAAAAAGAAAACCATGGTTCTATTGTAAAGCTACTATACAACTATAATAATGGTGATGACCTTTTTGTACTCTTGATTCTTAACAAATACTAAAAAACATCCAACCACTTGATTTACTAATCTAATCAAATGCTAGATTGCAAGACCAATTAATAATTGGTTATAGAAGCAAGATTTTGCCCTAATATATAATTCTAATCTCTAAAAGCAAATATGATAATTTTTATTTTTTTTTTATTCATAAAAATGTGAATAGATTATATTTATTTCAAATAAAAGAAAAGCATATTGTTACTATTAATTTTTCTTTAGTCTATTATTATTCTAAATTTATAATAATATAAGCAAAGACCAAATAGATAAGAAAATAGTAGATAAAGTATAAGCATCTATATTACATAATCCAAATGGCATATATGTTATCCAAAGTCAATAATTGTCTTATTCATGTTTCAATTCTTTACTTTAATAAAGAAATGCTTATGCTTTATAAAATATCTTTGCATATAATATGACATAAAATACTAATTTGATTCAGATTTTATTTTTGTTTAATTTTATTGTAGTCTAAGCTATCCTACGTTGTGATGGAATTTATATTAATATAAATTGGAAGGATCTTAGATCTTAGAGATAATCTAGTCTTGTTTCATTGATATCAGAGCAAATGTTAGTCTGTTCTTTGGTCGTATGTTCATAGCCACCATCTAGTTGGAGGTCACTTGTTGTAGTCATATCAGGTCTTGTTTTGAGGCTACCATGAGCTATTTTTAAGAAGTTAGCTTGAAGAGGAGAAGGCATTACAATAATATGGTTCAATAAGAAAATTGTAGCATGGGAGATATGGTGCAACAATTCCAGATGGAGACTAAAATACAATACCTTCTAGGCCAAATAGCTACTCTACAAAGACAAATGGAAGCTTTTAGGACAAGGGAGTTGACATTTGTTAGAATAAAATTAAGTAAGCTCAATACATACTATAGGACTTCAAGGCAAGAAGATGTATGCCAATGGTTCTTAAGCGTACAATAATACCTCCAACTATTTGGAGCAAATGCCACTAAAGGAATTATATGTACTGCGAGCTATTTGAGACATGCGACAACCATTTGGTGGTGACATCAAGCTCAAAGCTATAGATCTTAAGGTGGATTTTGTGAGTGGGAGGAGTTTGAAACCAAGTATAGGAATTAATTTCAATCCATCAATATAAAGAAGATAGCACACAATCAGTTGGCTAACCTTACACAATCTAAGTCAATGTAGAATTATGTCTTTTAATTCAAGTTCCTATGTCTCTAAATTGACAATGTTTTAGAAGCAAAGATGATGGATTGGATTGTAAGAAGGTTGAAACTTGTTGTCTAGCAAGATGTAGAATTAAATGATCCACAAACATTTGTAGAGGCAATTAGGATTGTGAAGAAGGTTAATGCTATAGATTTCAAAAACCTTAGAACATGACCTATAGCATGAAGTCTTATGCTACTATCCAATACTATGGCATAATAACCAATATCGATGGAGATTGATGTCTTATAAGGATCATTGATACTACAAAGAAAACAAATATTAGCATAAAAAGAATCATGTTTTTACAATCAAGAGTCAGGCCACTAGATTAGAAGTTGTCCAAAACATCAAAATTTAGGCTCCAACAAATTAAAGCAAGTTCACAATCTTGAGACTCATCAAGTTGATAATAAAATGAAGCAAAGAAATAAAGCTTCTCAATAAGGCATTGAAAATCAATATTAGAAATAGTTGCTATCTCTCAAAGAAAAATATCATGATCTTAGACAACTATGAAAAGAATTGACTGGTATGTCTAAGGGGTTGATTAAGAAGACAACCCTATTGAGTGCTTATAGATTGCAGCTGTACAAAAAATTACATCTTGATTGGAATTGTTAACTGACTTGGAATTAAAACCAAAGTGATCAAAGCAGATAGTATGTATCTAGTAGATGACCAAGAGAACATATTGAATGGGACATATGAAAAAGAAACCTTGAAGTTGAGTGACATATGAAGATAAACTCTATCCCTCAATCCAAATTACAAAATGGTCTCAATTAAGAATTTCTTATAATTGGTGGTGTGAAAAGGAAGTATTAATAATAAGAGCAAAAGAAGCACAATACAAAAATAAGTGAAATAAATATAATCAAGCAATTATTAACTACAAAACTAGTTACAATCTGTTCACTTAATTTTTATCTAATAAAAAATAAAAAATAAAAATAAAAATATATTTTTGAAAAGAAAATTTTATTATCTTTCTAATGGTGTAAGAAACATATAGATTAAAGTTACTATGAGTAAGTTATGAATTATTAAAGATAGAAGATAAATAATAAAAAAATTAAGTGAATAAATTTTATCTCAAGGATAATTTGCTTATGAGATCAAGAGTTTGAGCCTCACCAAGGCTCACAAGTAGTATATATGGATGTCTAAGAGAGGCCATGAGGCCTTAGTCATATCCTCTTAACTACCTTCAAGGTGCTATAACCCATATCGGACTCATACACTTCTTTTCTTACAAGGACTATACTAGCTGCTAGTCCTCCTATTTTCTACTAGTAAAACCAATAATTTTGTATTTTTGACTTCACCATGGTATTTAGAAACATCCAATTAGCATAGGAATTTTTTATGGCCTTCAAATCTTGTTCTATTTCTTCATAATGGCTTTCGAAGTGATAAAACTTATTTTTATTAAAGTTTAAAAATGATTTTAAAAATTTTTAAAAATTTTAAAAAAATTTTAAAAAAAATTTAAAAAATTTTATAAATTTTTTTTGGTAAAAAAAACAAATTTAATTTTCTTTAAAATTTACCTTTTTTATAACTTACTTAAAAGGCCTGGAGGTTTTTTTTATGGTTTTTTTTAATATTAAACGACAATTAAAGGTTTTTTTTTTTTTTTTTTTTTTTTTTTTTTTTTTTATAAATAATACATATAGATATAAGGCCAATGAAAATATTTATCTTAATAAATAATCCTTAATACTTAATAATAAGTAAAAATATTAAATCAACTAAGATAATTGCATCCAAGACTTACTAAGATTCCATTTTTACAACTAACATTCTAAATTTCTATTTGTTTAAGGATTTTTATACTACTCACTATATATTATGATTTTAAGCACTCTAAATATATCTTTTTGTCCTAAAACAAATATTAAGTCAATTTGATGACTCAAATGTCACCTATGCTTTTAAAAAAAAATTCAGGGTAATAAAGTTCAAATATGACATTATCCTTGATATGTTATAGTTAGAGGTGGAAAAAGAAGCATGTTGATTGGCTAGTAAGGACAATCTCTTTAAAAGATGGTAGATGCAAGGTGACTCTTTATAACTCCATATCAAGTGAGGTAGAAAAATGATTTGTAACTAAAGGCTTAATTATAGGGATGACCTTTATAAAGAAGCAAATATTACATAAGCAACTGGTATATATGGTGGTTTTAAATCTTGCCTCAATGATAGAAAAGACAACCAAAGAAATAAAAAAGATAGAATAATTCATGATAATATCTTTTTTGAATGACACCCTTCTCCAAGAGTTCATTACCATGAAGAACACTTATATTCTATCCACCTAAAAAGAATGGTAGACTTTCACTTTGCATCAATTGTTGAGGCGTCAATAAGCAAATTGTGAGGAATATATATCCACTTCAAAGTGTAGATATTCTTCTT